CCACTGCTTTCCCTTCATCCACAGACCCAGTTATCTCCTCATAGAAGGCAATTAGGTTAGTCAGGCACCTAATTGCCTTCTATGAGGAGATAACTGGGTCTGTGGATGAAGGGAAAGCAGTGGATGTGTTATTCCTTGACTTTAGCAAAGCTTTAATGAACCAGAGGGAAGGGAGAGACTGAGAAGAAAGATGAGGGAGATGATTACAGCGTGAGCGAGGGAGATCAGGAAATGGGATAAGGTTGCTGAGGCAGGTGGGGGGATTAGAGGAGAACAGACAAGAGATCTGAGGGCAGGTCTTCACTACGGGGGGTGTGTGTGTCGATTTAAGATATGCAAATTCAGCTACGCAAATAGCATAGCTGAATTCGACTTATCGGAGCCGACTTACCCCGCTGTGAGGACGGCGGCAAAATCGACCTCCGCGGCTCCCCGTCGATGGCGCTTACTCCCACCTCCGCTGGTGGAGTAAGAGCGTCGATTCAGGGATCGATTGTCGCGTCCTGACGAGACGCGATAATTCGATCCCCGAGAGATCGATTTCTACCCGCCGATTCAGGCGGGTAGTGTAGACCTAGCCTCAGTTTCACTGATGGGGGAAAGGAGAAGTAAGCGATGAGAGGTATTAGGAAAGGAGGGCGGGGAAGGGAGATCCCATTGGATTTTGTCATTTTTCTCATGCCTTTTTCTTTTTGGGCTTAACTGTTGCCTGCTTGTTCCTGAATTTACCCTAACACGAATGCCACTGAAACACCTCTGCCATTCAAATTTATCTCATAGTCTCTTTTTAGTTCCTCCTTTGTGCTTGATTTTCTTTGAGCACTAAGTAATGCCAGTGGAAATCCATACAGAGAGCAGATTTGTGTCGAGTATCCACCATATATAGACTCCTGACCAGACTGTCGGCTGCGTCTGTCCCAGATCTGGCTGAGCTCCCCCTCTTGGATACTCACCAGACTGCTGTGAGGCGATCCAAACTGAATCCCTATGTTCTTTAAGCCTCCAGAGCCTGAACAGACTCCAGGCACTGCTCCGGTCTGGGATCCTCTAACACATCCTGAGCTGAGACCCCAAGGTCCAACTGCCTAATCACTGGCAGAGGCCACACAATCCGATCTGCTGCCCTAGGCAAAACACCGCCCCCTCCCAACTCCTTAAAAGTTAGCCTTGGACCCCTAGTGTCTTCCCTGATGCTACTACCCCCACCCTCAAACTTCATGCAGCTGGGTTGGAGAGACCCCAACGTGTACCCTTTCCATGTAGGTTGGCACCAGGTGCCCAGGGCTCTAAAGGTGAGCATGCCCCTGCTCAGCCACAGAGGGACGTGGGCATCAGCAGAGGACAGCTTCCAGCCCATTGAGCCCAGGTGAATGGGCAGCTTGGATGTCCATCCCCCTAGCACAGGAGTTGGCAGGCTCCTTCCCACTGGGCAAAGTCAGAGTCTCTGCACCTTGGCCCCCACACACTGGCCCAGCCCACACCAGGCTGCCCCAGCCCAGCCCCTTGTCTCCTGCACTCCACACCACCATCCTACCCCCTGCACTCTCAGCCTGCAACCCCACTGACCCCCCACTGCATCTCCACCCCATCGTAGCCCACACTCCCTGCCTGGCCTTGGTTCCCAGCAACTTTTCTGGCTCATTAATCCTAGAACTGGATCCTAGTATTCAATACCTCAATCCTGAATCTTGTGGCAACCGGCTATTAGTCAATTGTTATGATAAAATTGACTCGTTATTTCTACTCTCTCTTTCAAGGGTCAGCTTGTAATGATTTTCTTCTGCCCTAGCATGCTCCCAATGGATTTTTAGATCTTGTCTACACTACCGGGGTAAGTCGACCTAAGTTACGCAACTCCATCTACGTGAATAACATAGCTGGAGTCGACTTATTGTGGTGTCTACACTACACTGTGTCGACGGGAGAGTGTCTCCCGTCAACTTACCTTTCTCTTCTCGTTCTGGTGGAGTACCAGAGTTGACAGGAGATCAATCTGCGGTCAATTTAGCGGGTCTTCCCTAGACCCACTAAATCGACCCCGGTGCATCGATTGCAGCAGCATCGAACCCCAGTAAGTGTAGACATGCCCTCAGTTGCAATTTGGAAGGGAGTAAGCTTTTTTGTAAGTCCTCTGGATAATTTCTGAATATAGAAACTAACACAGAGGGAACTAATAGAGACTTTGACTGAAAACCTGCTATGACTTTGCAAGAGTGTCTGTACCTGAAGGTTTTAAAACTCATTTCATCTATACAAAAGCTGCCTTCACAGCAGGACTCAGAAATGTCTCTAAATGAAGATCAAGGCACAGCAATACTCTATTGATTTTGTCTTTAGGTTTGATGCCCACTTTGGGAAAGCAGTCCTGCAAGCATTGCTTAGGAGGGGATAAGGTTACTGTTTGATACTTCCCACCTGAGTTCTCGGTTTCTTTGGAGTCTTAAAATGGAACTTAGAGTAGATGGAGACAAGGAATGGGTGGTGCCTGGGATGTCGGCTCCCTATATGCCATTATGTATGAACATGTGGATCCTTTATGAAGCATGTGTGAGGTCGCAATGGACACTGTTTTCTAATGGCTCTGTAACAAGGATGAATGTGCATCCAACAGATGTAGCTCAATATAGACCATCACCTCCAGGAACTAGATACTAGTAAGTCACCTTTCTCTAAAGTTTTACTAATTTTTATATTTTTCCTTTTTATAATTTTTCCTATGTTTTTGCCAAAATGTCAGGCTATGTCAGAATTTAGCACTTGGGTTTGTGTGGCAACGCTAGTGAGAGAATGTAATTTCCAGATCGGAACAAGTTAGAAAACAAGTTAGAAAAACAGAAATCAGAGGGGGAACAAGCAGTAGGGCTAACATGTAACTTTGTAATCATATACTATCTCCACGCTAAGATCAAATGCTTTTAATGGTTCTGGATCTGCAAATCTCAGCATATATCCCCAAGAGTGGGGATACGTGTAAACAATTTCATAAAGAAAAAGAAAAATCTACAGGAATTTGTAAAACAAGATTTTTTTTTTAATCAATGCAGTGTGTATGTGTATATTTCAGTGTCAACTCCAAAGCTAGACAGAACTCATGAAAGAAAAGAAGGGTTAATTAATTTAATGTATTAATTAAAGGCATAATGTAAAACCATACATACCCTCCACCCTTTTTTTGTGAAGTGGAGGTCGTCCTTTCTTATTCCTCACTGAAGATGCTTTGCTGCTACTACTTCCGCTGTTCACAGACATCCTGTCGTCTTCGCCCCCAGTAACTAGTGAATTTCTATAGGAAATCAGTGGAAGCCATACATCTTCCCTCCTTTCCATCATCTGTTCTGTCAGGAACTTCTCCAAATATGAGTGACTGTGAAAACAGAAGACAATGTGTAAAATAAAATTTCCCCTCTGCCCAACCCCTAAGGGGCCCCTCTTCACACTTTTATCTTGAGGCCCTGAAGATCTCCCATGCTGTTTCTTCCTATTTTAATCCTACAAACATATGCTGGCAAGGCACCATCTTTCTGGCTGAAGATGACTCAATAAAATTCACTTCAGAACTAGTTAAAACAGCTGCTTAGCTGTCTACAAATATTCCCTGAGGAACAATGCAAAGTTCTCTTTCCCACATAACACACCCATAGTGGTCTGAAATCATTCATCACATTTATACTATACCTGAATGCTATTTCTAGTCTCAATCCCTAATACAATCAACATACATATTCCATCCAGGTAAACAGATGGATTAAATTTGGCAATATTCTGAGCACTGGATACTTTTTTCAGAAGAACAGTGAGAGAATTATTTTCTAAAACACAACCAATTATTTTGAAATTAAAGATATTGACAATCTGTAGGCACTGGAGCCCAACTGTTCCTGCTGGAGTTCATACATACTTGCCATACTTTTGGGAAAAAAAATTGAGGGCCTGTTCTCCAAATTAGATCTCCACCAACTACAAGTTTTTGTGTATATTCTGGTGAACTTCAGGCTTTTTTTGGTCTGTCTTTTTCAATTATTTAACCATACAATCTAAAAACAGCCAGTCAGATTAATATGATAATCCATACAAAAACTATGTTAAAAAAGTATTGTTACACTTGTGAAGTCAAGCACTCAAAAGTTAGGAAATCCCAGAATTGAGGATGTCTGTGCAACATTAATTCTGTTCTTTTGAGAAATGTATTATGATACAACCTTTAATTACATCATCATTTAACACAACACCCCTGGATGTGTCATTGGTAGCGAGGTCCAAACCCAAGACTTCTGGAGCTACAAGTATGAACTTCTATTGCCTGAGCTACATGACCCAACTAGAGTAGTCAGGAGGGCGTTAAATTAAAAACAAGTGTGGAGGGTGAAAAGAGAAAACAAATGAGCACTCATTTAGCACAAAGTCAAGATGTTGAGAACAAAATTAATCAAGACACCAAAGGAAGTGAAGAGAAGTAATTTTTTAATTGCCTCCCCACCAATGCTAGGAGCCTGGATAATGAACATAAGGAACTGGAATGGCTCATATATGAGCATAAATTCAACCTAGCTGGTATTACAGAAATCTAGTGGAAAGGTTCACATGACTGGAATGTTAAAATCACTGGTTATAACTTATTTAGGAAGGAATGAGGAGCAAAAATAGGGAAAAAAGCTGCGTGATTATGGGGAACTTCATCGGAGTGGCACGCTAGAGGTCTCATGCTGCCGATGCTAAAGCACTTCAGAATTTCTAAGTTATAGATGTAATTACAGATTATAGATACACTTCCTAACTCAAAAAGTGCTGAATCCAACAAGAGGAAATTCTATAATACACCTTGTCTTGTAGCTTAGGTACAAGTGACTATGATTTGATCACATTTGTTATGTTCAGCAGAAAAAAGTCCAAATGAGTAATATATATACTTGGTGCTTTAAAAGGGCCAATTTCACAAAGCTGAAAACAACTGATGAGCCAAATCAGTGCACAAAAAATGTAAACAAAAAGTTTGAATAATAACATGGGAATTGTTTAAAAACATTTTAATAGATGTCTAAAAAGGCCACAGTCGAGAAAGCAAACCACACTCCTTAATAATATCAACTTGGGTTAGAAAGAAAGTGAAATCAAAAGACAGTTACCTGTTCTGTATCTGGTGTTCTTCGAGATGTGTTGCTCATGTCCATTCCACGTTAGGTGTGTGTGCTTGCCACATGCACCGGTGCCGAAGTTTCCCCTCAGTGGTGTCCATAGGGGACCGGCTCTGGCGGTGTCTGTATGGTGCGGTATAAGGGACGCCGCCGGCTCCCCCCACCCTCAGTTCCTTTTTGCAGGAAACTCTGACAGTGGGGAAGGAGGGCGGGTAATGGAATGGACATGAGCAACACATCTTGAAATACACCAGTTACGGAACAGGTAACTGTCTTTTCTTCTTCTTCGAGTGCTTGCTCATGTCCATTCCATGTTAGGTGACTCCCAAGCAGTACCAACGGGGGTGGGCAGGAGTTCATGGATGTGTAGTTTGTAACACAGCTCTGCTGAACCCAGCGTCATCTCTGGCCTGCTGGGTGATGGCGTAGTGTGCTGTGAAGGTGTGATGGGAAAGTGTGCCAGGAAGGCTGCCGAGGACGCTTGCCCTCTCGTCGAGAGGGCCTTCACCAGAGGTGGCAGTTGGACCTGCACCAACTCATAACAGGTCCGGATGCAGGAGGTAATACAGTTAGAGATCCTTTGAGAGGACATCAGAAGGCCCTACATCCTGTCCACTGTCGCGATGAAGAGCTGTGTCGACCTGCGGAAGGGCTTGGTAGGCTCCAGGTAAATGGCCAAGGCACGGCGAAGTCCAGGGCGTGCAGCTGCCTCTCCTCATTTATCTTGTGTGGTATAGGACAGAATACCGGGAGGAAGATGCTCTGGTTGATATGGAAGGAAGACACCACCTTCAGCAGGAAGGCTGGGCGGGGTCACAACTGTATCTTGTCTTTGAAGAAGACCGTGTAAAGTCAGGGCTCTAATCTCCAACACTCGTCTATCCAGTGTCACTGCCACCAGGAAGGCGACTTTCCACAATAGGTGGGAAAGGGAACAAGAGCCCAAGGGTTCAAATGGCAGACCCATGAGTCTGGAGAAAACCAGATTGAGGCCCCACTGTGGGACAGGATCCCTAATGGGAGGGAAGAGCCTTTCGAGGCCTTTCAGGAACCTGATGTACATCTCCTGTGAGAACACCAATCTACCCTGGATCGGCGGATGAAAAGCCGAGATGACAGCTAGATGAACCTTGATAGAAGAGAGGGCCAGGCCCTCATTCTTCAGGAAGAGAAGGTATACCAAGACTGACTGCAGAGAAGAGCGCTTCGGGGAGATGCTATTCTCAGACGCTCAGTGGGAGAACCTCGTCCACTTCGCCAGATAAGTCACTCTAGTGGAGGATTTTCTACTTCCCAAAAGGACCTGCTGCACCTCCCTGGAACAGGCTTGCTCCTCTGGGTTCAACTATGCAGCATCCACACTGTGAGGTGGAGGGAGGCGAGGCTGGGATACAGGAGGCGACCATGGTCTTGCGAGAGAAGTCCGGACGGTCAGGCAGCGGCCACGGGGAGGCTACTGCCAGATCCTCCAGTGTGCTAAACCAATGCTGGTGCAGCCACGCCGGGGCAATCATAATGACTTTGGCCTTGTCCCTCTTGATTTTTGACAAGACTCTGCTGACGACTGGGATGGGCGGGGAGGTGATAGGCTTCCATGTGGATCGCATGTTGGATGCAGAAATCCCATAGGCCAGAGTGCCTCTTGACAGAGGGCCGACGAGTGCACTCTCCCTTGCCTATTGATGTAAAACATCGAGGCTGTGTCGTCTGTCAGACTCGAACCACTTAGCCCTCGAACCACTCAGCCGGATAACTGTGGGAGGAAAACCGCACAGGCGAGGCGAGCCTCCCTGAGCTCTTTGACGTTTATATGCAACGTCATCTCCTCTGCAGACCACATACCTTGCATCCGCATCGCACTGAGGTGCGCTCCCAGCCAAGGTCTGAGGCATCTGATATCAGTGATACCGAAGGACACGGGCTGTCGAACAGAACTCCATTGAGGTCTGTTCCAGGATAGGTCCACCACTGCAACATGGTGAGTACCTCTGGTGGGATGCTGACAACCTTGTCCAAGTGATCCCTGGATGGGACATAGACTGTAGCCAGCCACTGCTGGAGGGGTCTCATTCGGAGCCTCACATAGCAGACGATGTATGTGCACGCTGCCATGTGGCCCAGCAGCCGTGGGCAGACTCTTGCCGTTGTGAGAGGAAACGCAGAGACTCTGGCGATGAGGTTCCTCATCGTCTGGAACCTGATAAGCGACAGAAACGCCTTCGCCCTTGTGGAGTCGAGGACCGTCCGATAAACTCTATTCTTTGCACAGGGACCAACATTGATTTTTCCTTGTTTATCAACAGGCCCAGTCTCCTGCACGTGGTCAGCAGCATCCTGTTCCTGGGACCTGGAGTGACCTTGACTAGCCAGTTATTGAGGTACGGGGCAGGTAGATCAGGATACTGCGATGCCTGAGGTAAGCTGCCACCACCAACATGCATTTTGTGAACACCCTCTGTGCCATTGCAAGGCTGAAGGGGAGCATCGCAAACTGATAATGCGTGGATCCCACTGTGAAGCAGAGGAAGCATCTGTGTCCTTGAAAGAGTGCTATATGAAAGTATGCGTCCTTCAAGTTGAGAGTGGCATACCAGTCCCCTGGATCCAGGGAGGGGATGGAGGAAGCCAGGGAGACCATGCAGAACCTCAACTTCTTGAGATACTTGTTGAGGTCTTGCAGGTCCAGGATAGGCCTTAGGCCCCCTTTGGCCTTTGGAATCAGACAGTAACGGGAGTAGAACCCCGGCCCCTGAAGTCTAGGGGGACTTCTTTCTCGGCCCCCGCCTGCAGCAGGACTTGCACCTCCTGATGCAGTAGACTCTTGTGAGAGGGGTTCCTGAAGAGGGACGGGGAGGGAGGGTGTGATGGGTGGGGGGTAGAAACCAATTGGAGGGTATAGCCCTGCACCACAGTATTGAGGACTCAACAGTCCAAAGTTATAGACGCCCAGGCTGGGAGGAAAAAAGAAAGGCGGTTGGAGAAGCGGAGGGGGTCAGGATCCAGGACAGTGGCTGGAATGTCGCCCTCAGGCACACTCTCAAAATGCCTGCTTCAACCCTTGCTGGGAGTGGGAAGAGCTGGCCTGTGCCGAGGTAGAGGGCTGCTGGCCCTTACGACGTTTATAGCCCTTGCCCTTCTTCTGGAAGGGCTATTGCCTAGGCTGGCTGCGCTGCTGGTGGGGAGGCTGCAGCTTAAACGGCTTCCTCTGCTACCCCAGGGTGTATAGGTTCAG